CAGGCCTGAAGCCCGAGGCCCGCGCCCCCGCCCGGCTGTCCCGCCCGCCGCGGGCCGGATCTGCTGGGGCGCCGGGCCTCCCTCCAGGAAGGCGGGCCCGAGGGGAGGTGCCAGGACTCCCAAGAGCAGGCGGCGGGCGCCCCCTGCGGACCCCACTGCGCCCCGCGCTTTGCATCCTGCTTTGTGTGCGCAGGGAGTCCAGCGCCTCTTAGCCGTCGGTGCCGGCACACTTGAAAACTCCAAGACCCAGGTGTCCACGGACAGAGGAATGCACAGGAAAATGCAGGATTCGCACGCCGCGGAGTACTACTCTGCCACGAAGAAGGATAAGCGCGAATCGTCTGCAGGAGAATGGATGCAGCTTGAGTCCATAGTGTGAACTGAAGCAAGTCAGACACACCGGGTTCAGTGTAGCGCGGTTTCTCTCACAGTGTAAACAGAGAGCTAAAAAATGATAGATGACAGGGACTAGGGATGGGTCTTCTGCAAAAGGGCAGGGGCCGAGAGATGAGGGTCAGAGCTGAGCCCCCCGAGTCGTCACCGTTACTGCTGTGCAATGGACTCAAAGGGGCGAATGAAAATTTTTAAAAATCAAGGGGAATAGAAAAACTGCTAAACCCCAGCGATGCTGCCGGGCCAAGGGGCCGACGGTGGGTCCGAGAGGGAGGCCGCCTGGGCGCCTGGTCGGTCAGCAGCGTCGCCTCCTCGGGGGTGACTCTGCCGGGCGGGTCTCGGCGAACCTCAGAGCCGGCCGGCCCTGCCAGGAAACAACGGCTGAGAGCAGAGGTGTGGGGGGGACTGAGGCCCAGCCCCAGGGGCCGGGGCCGCGGCTGGTGTGCCGCACACTTGTGCAAACCGCTTTTGACACACTCAGCACGGAATGGGGCGGGCGCACCCGGGCCGCGCGGCAGTGCCACCATCACCCGGGCGCCCTCGCCTCGGTGCGCCCCAGAGCGGCGGGCTTTCCCGGAGAGCATTTCAGGCCCTGCTGAGCTCAGGGGAAGAGCTGGGCCCTTTCGCCGCAGGCAGGAACGGCTGGAAAACTCCAAAGTAGCAACAGCGGCCCTTCGGTGCCCCCGTGTGGAGAAACGTAAAAGCGAGGCGGCGACCCGCTACCCAGGCAGCGCTGTTCACGGGAGGGGCGCGTGTGTGCGCGCGAGTGCGTTTATGCTTCCCTGCTTAGCTTCAAAAGAAAAATATTCACATTATTAAAAAATCACACTTGAGGCTTTTAAATTGTTTTGCCAATATTTGCAACAAAGGTGATTTTTAGAGTATTTCATGCTGGGCATGATGGCATCCACCTGGAATCCTAGCACTCACTCGGGAGTCTGACGCAGGAGGATCTCTTTGCGTTTGAGGTCAATCTGGTCTGCATAGTGAGTTCAAAGCCGGCCTGGAATAAAAAGTGAGACCCTGTCCCAAAATAAATAAAATGAACTTTAAAATGTGAATTCTGTTTGCAGCTGGGCCACCGACAAAGTTGCATGCTCGTGTTTTGACCTGGGGGCTGAGACAAGACTTTCTAGCTTTTACTTCCACCTCGATGGTTACCCGGAATCACTCACATTCAGCTCCAGGGTTTGGGATGGGCCTGGCTGGAGGTGGTCGCTGTGGCTGTGACCAGGAAGTGCATTCCTGTCCCTGCTCCGCCCTCTCTCTCTGCCGAAAGCAGTGCCCTGCCGGCCTTGGGGCAGCCGACCCGGACTGCACTCACGGAAACCGTGAGCCCAGGTAGCCCCTCTCCGGGCTGGGTGCTTTGTCCCAGCGAGGGAAAGTGACCCGGATGCACCGCCTCTGTGCGAGGCGAAGCGCGGATAGGCCCGCACACTGGAAGGAGGCCAGGCCTTGGCAGCTGGCACGGGAGTGGCCCTGCCCCCAGGGACGTGGTGGCCAGAGAAGCCTGGGCGGGCCGGGCCCCCTGGCTTTGAGGACGCTGTCTCCTCCCAGGTCAGTGCGGCCACCGGCCTGGATCTGCGCTGTCCATGCCCGTGACAGCGCCAGGTGTGCGCACTGGGGACCATACCCCGCGGACAAGGCAGGGGGTGCGTCACGACACAGCCCTAGCTGCG